GAGTTGCAAGTATGTTTACCCATATTTTTGGATCGTTTGCGCAATGAAATTACTAGACTTACTACTGTTAAAGCACTTATTAAAGTTGCTGGATCACCATTGAAAATTAATTTGTCTTCTATTCTGGTAAATTTAATTTAATTAATAATTAGTGGCTTTATATATTTGTATCAAACATTAAAATATAATTTTTTAGAGTGATGGTGTATTAATTTTGGCATCATTCCTTCGAAAAAATCAAAGAGCATTAAAATTGAGTACTTTGACTTTACTTAATATGTTGCTAAATAATTTCTATGCTGATTTTTCTGCTGAATTATTAAATAAGGTACATAAATGCATAAAATAATATTTTATTTAATATAAATATTATCATAACTTGTATATATATATTTTGTTTTAGATACTTATTGAATTACCACAATTAATTAATGAATCAGATTTACATATTGCTCAGTTAACACTTTCTTTACTAACAACAATAATAAAAATTCAACCATTGGCTATGTCATGTTCTGCTAACATTATTATGCCAGAAGTTATGACTCTAACCAAATCTCCATTACTACAAGGTGCAGCCTTGAATGCTATTTTATTATTCTTCCAAACTCTGGTTGCTACAAATGTTCCACAGTTTGGATACCAAGAGTTAGTGACACTTTTAATTTCACCATTGATGGCTCAACCAGTTGGCACTCCAACTTTAACTTTACATAAACAAGTATTATTTAATTTAAATTATTGTTTATCAGTAATAAATAAAAACATATTAAAAATGTTTAGGCTTACCATTCGTTAGCCAAGTGTGTAGCAGCACTGACAGCCACACAACCAACTCAAGCAATGGGTATCATAAACAGTTTCATGTCTGAATTAATTAATCCATCTAATGACCAACAACGTATTTTTTCGTTACTAGTAATTGGAGAAGTCGGTAGACATATGTATGTTTATTTATTTTTATTATAATAATTAACAGTTATAATTATATTTTTTATAATTTTGGATATTTATTACAGAGATTTAAGTTCTGTAATTAACTTGAAAGAGACTATACTACAATCATTCTCATCTAATTCTGAAGAAATAAAATCGTCAGCAAGTTACAGTTTAGGTAGCATTTCTATTGGAAATTTAGAGCAATATATACCTTTCATATTAAGAGAGATTGATATGCAACCAAAACGTCAATATTTGCTATTACATTCCTTAAAAGAGGTAATTTGTATTTTAAAGTATAATTTTATTTTTTAATGATTATTGATAATTTTCAGATCATCACATTCGAGTCGTCTACTCCTAATGGCATTGAAAACTTGAAACCTTTTGTCCCAGCTATTTGGAACCAATTATTTAAACACTGTGAATGTATAGAAGAAGGTTCGCGTAATGTGGTTGCTGAATGTTTAGGAAAACTTACATTAATCGATCCATATAATTTATTGCCAAACTTGCAGTCATCACTACCTTCATCATCTGCACTTATGAGAACCACATTATTGACTGCTGTTAAATTTACTATATCTGATCAACCACAACCAATAGACATGTTGCTTAGACAAAATATGGATCAGTTTTTGAGTGCACTTACTGATCCAGATATAAATGTAAGGCGAGTAACATTAATTGCTTTTAATTCAGCTGCACATAATAAGCCATCTTTAATAAGGGATCTACTTGACACTGTACTTCCTAAACTTTATGCAGAAACAATTGTTAAGGTATGCATTTATTTTTTTAAGTTAAAATTTTAAGATTCATATTATTTGTTTTGTGTATATTTTTAGAAAGAACTTATAAGAGAAGTAGAAATGGGTCCATTTAAGCATACCGTTGATGATGGGTTAGATATAAGAAAGGCAGCCTTTGAGTGTATGTATACATTGTTAGACTCGTGTTTAGATCGTCTAGATATATTTGAATATCTTAACTATTTGGAGAATGGACTACGTGATCATTATGATATTAAAATGCTCACATATTTGATGGTTTCAAGGATGGCTCAAATTGTACCTAGTGCAGTACTGCAAAGTAAGTTGTTGACTTCTGCTCAAATTAGTAATCAGTAATTAATATAAAAATATAATAATTTTCTTTTTAGGGTTAGATAAAATTGTTGAACCGCTTAAACAAACATGCATGTTGAAAATTAAAGCTAACTCCGTAAAACAGGAATTTGAAAAAATGGAAGAACTTAAGAGATCTGCTATGCGAGCAGTTGTTAATTTACAAACTATACCCGATGCCAGTTAGTAACATTTTGAGCACAACTTACTTATTTAATAAAATATACATTTTTAACATATTGTATTAAACTATTATTGTTAATAATTGTATCTTTATATTATATATATATATATATTTTTTTTTTAGATAAAAATCCACATATGGCCGACTTCATATGTCAAATTAAAAATTCAAGCGAATTGAATAATATATATGAAACAATTCAAAGAGACACATTAGGAATGGTAACTGATAATAATTATATGGTACCTATGGAGATCTGCGAATAATTATGATAAATATTAGAATATTGAATGTTCTACTACAACATAAATTGGATTGGTTTCTACTAATGTGTTTTTACAAAAGAAATCAAGAACTTTGTAAATAATAATTTTTATGTGTATATGCAAGATTTAATTTATACTATTTCTGTAAATCTTTTGAATTCATTTATAAAAAAAATTAATTTTAATCTTACAAATAATAAATATTATCTAAATTTTTTTTTACTCATTTAAATGAATAAAATTAGTGATAACTGTATTATTAACAGTACCATTTGTTAACTGTAATATGTATTGGTGTAAAAGTTTTTTTCAAATAATATCAAAGTATTATTCCATTTGAATTATATTGTATACCACAAAAAAAATATCTATTACTAATTTTACTGTAGTTTTTGCATGTTTTTTCTACTGCAAATCACACTTAACATGTTACATGTGAATACTGAGTGTGTTTTTTAGTAATAAATAATAATATATTCATCAAAACCTAACTCAAATAGTATTTTATTAGTTAATGATTATGTGGATATTTAATTTTGTTAATGTTATTATAGGTAGCTTTGAAGTATAAAAAATTGACTTCCAATAAACTGACAATACTTATACTTTAAATATATTCATAGAATTTTTTGGAATGCTGTAGTCTATTGCTATACTATACATCTTATTTTCAGTAGTGTAACGTAAAATTCGATAGCCCTATAGAACCTATAGTAGGCGGAGACCATGTTCAACGCCGCAGAAATTAAATTATTAAATAGTGATACTAGATAAATTATGACGCTAGGAGCTAATAATAAAAAAATAATAATATTATAATTTGTTATCCTGTACTTAAAATTTTGTTTAAACCATTAATGTTACATGCTTAAGGATTATCTTTTCGAGTTTTCCTTTAATTAAAAAAAAAAAAACTTTTCAATGGCTTTTATTAAGTTGTATTGTGGCTTCCGGTTACGGGCGTACCTCCGGAGCCCCGGCCTAAGTACGTCACTCTTTATATTAAAAGTACCTATCTTTTGGTGTTTATTACTATGTTTATTTTTTTTTTCCACTTGCTGTTTTCCTAAACTCCGATATTTAATAATATTTACTATACTAGACACTACATATTATAAGTACCCGGATATAAGCGTAGTATAGTTGTAAAAAATATGTTCGTCGAGGAAAATAGGAGGTATACACATCCAATAAAAAGTAACGATGCATATAATTTATATGATAACAATATATTTATTTTATTGTGTTACAATATATATTATATATTACGTACAACTAATAGACGTTTGCAACAATAAATATAGGAACTAAGAGAAAATAAAATATGTTATATAAAAAAAAAAAAAAAAAACACTTATAAAAGTAAATATCGATTTGCTCAGGAGACGCATGGATAATAGTAAAGTAGAGATTACGTTATAAAAAAAAAAAAAAAACAAAAAAAAAATACACTGCAGTCTTTTTCTTGACGAGTTTCGCGCACTCCAATTATCTATTACTAAAACGTAATATTATACTCATACGAACGAACGCGGTATACAAATAAAAAAAAAAGGAACCGTTCGGTAAATACGATCGCGCACCCACACATAATATTATAGTGTTTCATGCGCGCGTACCGGTGTGCGCATTTTATTTTAAATGTCTCGGGACGTCCGTCACGAGTCTCCAAAACGTTTTGCCCGCCAACAGCAATAACGTCTAAACACGATTGCGGTTTCTGAGAGTATCCGACCTTTGAGTATCATCATCATCATCATCATCATCATCACAATCGCTATTATTCGTGCGCCGCCGAGTCCTGCATATTGTGTGCGAGTGTACGAGACATCGCGGCGACCACCGGACACGAAACGAGTGTCGGCGGTCGCGGAACACTTCCGGCGCGTGTGTGATGCTAATACGCACGGAAATGAATCGCGGCGTTGCAAAGGCCCGCGGAGGAAATCGGACTGTAAAGGCGTGTAGGTACCGTGATTATTATCGTTTTGCGATTCGTGCGCAATCAACAACAACGTCTTACACACGCATCGCGCGCGCGGACGTGTTTCCGGCGTTCGGCGAGGAGGTGCGAAAACTACGAGTCGCGAACAGGCGCGTTCCGCCATCTCCGGCCCAGGTTCCGGCGCCGTCGACCGGTACACCGCCGCGGGTGTGTAGTGTGCGTTCGTTACACGCGCTCTGACCGGTTGGCCGACGACATCGTCTGATATTGAAGCGATATACCTACTCTGCTCTGCCGCTGACGTCGCCGCCCCCCGCCTACGATGTGCACTGAATACGTTTTTGTAAAATTCGATTTTACTGGCGCGATTCGCGTAGAGCAAAATGACCATCTCATACTGAAGTGGAGGTACGGAACGGCGGTGGGAAAAGAAGAAAACAAACAAACAAACGCAAAGCCAGTGAAGTCGTGTACGAATGACGCCGTGTGTATATAACATATAGGTATAGAGGTTTGTATTAAAGCAATTGAAAACGTAATATTATTTTATATCATATATTATATATGATGAGCGCACGGCGGCGCGTGCAGCAGATATATGTTTATATATTTATAAATATATATGTATAGCAGTAGTAGTAGTGGTAGTAGCAGTAATAGTATAGTGGTAGTAGTAATATTGGTAGTAGGCATATAGTATTATATAAGTCAGTGCCGGATTTAACTGCAGGATGGAGGGATTGCGGGGAGCCCCTAAGGTCGATTCAAGATGATTGGGGGGAGGTGGTTACTTTCTCAGTTGAAACGTTTTTGTTTTTGAAATCAGCTCTTTTATCATTTATCGAAAGCACATAGGTAATTGATTCGTCGAGTTATTCGGAAACGATAATTTTTTATTTACTTATTTATTTGTGTTCTTTTAAAGGGGCTTCCGATATTGTTGGGCTGCACTCCGGTGGCCTCCACAGAGACTTAAATCCGGCACCGAATTCATAGTTTAGTATTATGTAGCATAAAATATATAATAATATAATATATATATATATATGATAATAGTCACAGTGACGATTTACTGCAGCCTCGCGACGGACAAAACGACATTTGACGCGGTGCCGCCGTCACTGTAACACATTTTACTGGTATTTATAAATAATATTCATAATAATAATGCACGGCGAACGGGTGTTGCATGTGTGTGTGTGTGTGTATGTGTGTGTGTGTGTGGGAGGAAAGACTTCCGGTCGTTCTGCTGCGGTGGCGGCGGCGGGTGGCGGCATTAGGCCGCGATGTACGCCAAGTGGAAGGCAGTGCACATCATGGTGACCACGTTGCCGATGGCCACGAACAGGTGCACTTGCCGGAAAGCCCGGTGGATGGCCATGTAGTGCGGACAGTCGACCAGCGGGCCCAGGTCGTAGCGGCCCACTTCGTTGCCGACGCCCGCCGACTTCTCGATGGCCGTCTTGACGGTGATGAGCCGCAACAGCGGCGGCACCACGTACAGCCGGATCATCAGTTCCAGCAGGAAGCACAGGCTCAACACGAACAGCTATTCGGACAAATACGGGAAAAAAACATTTTAGAAAAATATGCTAATATATTATTATTGCCACAGTCAGTTATATATTATATTATATTGTATTGTATTGTATTGTTATTGATGCAGTTATTATATGCGCGTGATGGGTGTACAGCGTGCAGCGCGCCTGCATTTATAATCGTCAATCGGCTTGCATAGATTATGTGCTGCAGGTGCGCGCAGTCAGCTGCAGACCGAGACGTTTTATGCACATCCGATTTTCCGTTGAAAAACAAACGGGACGAGATTTCAAAATCTCCAGGGAGTCGGGAAATTCCACAGGACAGGGGATCACTCCTCGAAACCTCATTGCACGGTTCGATGTGAGACTCGATCACTTGCAGGATCTTTGTGACTTTGTAAGGACGTCCTATTCGGTGTACTTTAATACATTGCATGCTCGTAATACAAACTAATAATTTGGAACCCTATCCTATTCCTTTTCTTAAAATATTAAGTTGTATTACTTAGGTACTGTTGTTAGCTTATAAAATTTGTACCTATGGAATTTGTTATTATAAAATATTTACTCGGGAGTTATTATACGTTTGAAAGTCAAAAAATATAATATGGAATTTTTTTGTTATGTATTTTTTTAATTTTTTTTTTTTACTTTGACTGAGGTATATTATAAATTAGATTTTGACATTTACAGGATTACCAGATGGTACGATATCGACACGATCGTATTTTCAAATTTAAACCGAATGGTGTATGCCTACGTTCCACAACACGAATACAATAACAATAAGTTTTTATAGGACTGCGGCTGTCAAGTTATATGTCTATCGCAAGTAAATCATATTATACATCGTGCGTGCGCTTGTACCCACTATACGCATTTTATTTTATACGATGTTAGAAATGCATTGAAACTGATCCTGAAAGATTTATCGAGGTATTATCCAATTATAATGTTTAATAATTTAACAAAACCTACTTGACAGTCAAACGTGAACAAATACAGCGATAATCCTATATTATTCTCGTAACGGGTATTATTCGTTCGAGAATAATGCAGTTTAGCATATATTATGTACGTACATTATAGGTATAAAAAGACGTGGTTCCCAACTCCTTAAGCATAAATAATTGTATGCAATGGTAGTTGATAAATGCCGTCTTATACATAGAGATCAGAGATAAATATGTCACCTCGAAAGAAATTTACTTGTACAGTGGTCGACAACGTGATACCAATATCATAATTTATCACTGTCGACGTTCGTCTAAATAAATATCGTAAATGTACATGTAGATCAAGGACCAGACGAGGATTTGTCCCGAATACAAAGTATAAAATGCACTGTCTACGTGGCGTATGTGCGTCTTCCGTTTTTTTATGATCGGTCATGTACGATGAATAACTCTGATAAAATCGTCTTAATGTATGGTACCATTACACCTATTGACCTATGCAAGGCGTACACAGAAAATTCGGCAGATATATCATGAGCGCGATTTTGGTGGCGAAGAGGTGAAAAACATGGGCGTTATAACTTTACACACGACCGACGACCAACGGCAGTTTCGCCCAAACACCTTTCACAGAACATTTGCAGTGAGTGAGTGAGCGCCGACAATGTGTCAATACACTACGCACGTGTTTTTTAGTACCTATTACTATTGTCATATAATATATTAATATGTTTACAAATTGTGCATACCTGTAAATACGTGTGTACGTCCCACATGTTGGCAGCGACGTGCATCTTGCCGAATTGGATGAGTGTGATGGCGCTCAACAGACTGTTTAGCGAAAAGTATTTGGGAAATAGGATCTTTTGAACATCGCCGAAAGCGTGTCTGGCCAAATTGAAGTACAAGCTCAACCCTGAGAAAACAAAAACAAATAAATAATATAATCTCTGTCTTAGTATAGCAATTGGAGTGGGCGTACGGTGGTATACCGTAAATAATAGAGGAAGGCCATTTCAATCTCTACCTTTATTCAATTTAGGAGATTTAAATATTTGGTGACAATTATTTTATAAATGTATTATTATACGGACACGTAACGCTATCCATTTATATTCAAAAATATGATTGGGTACTGTAAATTCAATTTCGTCTGGGGTGATACATTTCATTTTATAATATTTTTAAACAGTAAAACCTATTGGGCTTGAGTAATATTTATCAGCGGACCCAAATGTATCAACTACCAAGTCTATGTGGAGATAAGATAAGCACAGCTCGTTGACATAATTGAACCGGATTCGTAGATTACGGAATATATTTCATAATCCAAGTACATGTATATTTCTATTTAATACGCTTGTATTCGTATTCCATGTAAGTTAGAAAATATAATTATAATATAATTTCAAAATGTGTTAAATTGTTATTTCCTGAGGCCGTGGCGCTCAGAGTTCACGTATAATTATAACAAACTTGTGCTGATTATCCCGTTTCACGTAAGTCGTTACAATTAAAAACCGAAAACGAATACTACGTTCTATTACTATATACCAATCCTGTGCCAATAAATTAGTCGGCTAAATTTATAATGACTTCTCGTCTCGTTGCTCGTATTATCTGCCAAAAACTCAGTAAACAAGGAGAAAAATAGTCATCGGGTACACGTATATAATTAATGCTTCGCATGCCCAAAAAGCGAATCGCCGTCCTATAAGTCATCTCGTCAGTGTTATTGCACGCATTAGTACGGTTATTTTTAAGACACAAAATATTAAATATTATTCTTGAGAATTTGTTTAAAGTGTAGCCGAGTATATTTATAAAATTTAGTCCACATAAGCACCTATATCCATATTTTATTCGAAATATAAATATTATAATACGCAGTCCATTCTCTTTGTTCAATAATTCAAAGTTCAAAAGAACGAAAAAATAAAACTAATATTCACAACCTTAATATATGGATTATGATATAAAATAAATGAATACACGTGAATTTATTGATATAATTGAATTGTACTTGTACCTGTGCATACGATTCGCACGTGTCACAGAGAATATACATGGCGACATGGCGTCAGTCTTTAACATAATATGTCAACTAGAGCTCATGTTTTTTTTTTGTATTTTGTACAAATTAACCATTTAATGTATTTATAACGCATATAATATGTATAAACGTTTAATGTACCAATGAGTTTGCGAATCGCTGTAATTAAAAATAACCTAAGTTGTCCACATTTCCAGCTAATTCGAAAGTGCGGTTTTAAAAGTCAAACTTTTTAGATATATTATTGCCATTATTACATAATGATATAACAATAAATCATTATCTATACATGTATATGGCATTTTATTCGAGCGGAGAATCTCAAAAAATCAAATCACAATTGCTAGACGATCGAATTTTTTAATGTGCGATCCACGAAAGTCGCACGTGACTTATAGGTACCGTCTGCAGATGTATAATATTTATATATATCTATTATTATAACGAAGTGCTTGTAAAAATATGAAAATAGCATGTACATGTGCTCAATTTATTATTATTATTATTATGTTTATCGACGACGATTATTTTTTGAGGCAATACCTATTTTATTTAGTTTTTGTCCTTATATGGCTATCTAAAATACTTGCAAATAATTGCTCTACTTTACTCACCGGAAATAAATGTCATCCAGAACTGGGCGCCTACGTGCGTGCAGAACGCAGCCAGATACACGAAATTTACAAAAGTCCTTGGTTTGACACTTTCACCAGTAACGTTAGATGTTTTTTTCATATCGCCGGGCAACATCGATGCAGCTACCAGAGTTACAGCTAACGCCATTATCACGTGCGCTGGTTGCGTGAAGAATAATACCCTGATAGATAAAAAAAAAAAAACAATTTAATTACTAGAATAATAATTATTATTGTAATGCCTAAGCTATAATTAATTTGATGCGAAATTCGAAAATACTCGTATTAACGATTAAAGCCGTACACAAAGTTTCAAACGCTAATAAGTACCTACAAATTGTATTATTCGTGAAATAATCATTATACATCACATTGTGTATTTTTATTTCATTTTTTCTCGAACGTGATTTTAATAATATGTATCTATTTGCCCACATTACCCGTGTGTAAATGCGTCATAAAATTATTTATTGAACAGGTTTAACTTTAACGTAAAAATACCCAGGAAATATTTAACGAATAACTAGCATACATTTTTTAACGTTTATTACTAATACTTATATATTTTTACTTATATTATTATTCTTTACAATTATTATTATCATAGATATAGTAGGATTGTTCAAAAAAATGATTTGCATATCTATTTTTACTGAACTCTATAACAATATAAAATATTTTTTTTCTGTGCACATAGTTTAATCTTAGATCTACAAAGATGATGAAGTACTTTAAATTTTTAGGCAATTTTCTTTTATATAAATATTGATACGAATTGAAGAAACTATAATATATATTTTTAGATAATTTCGAAAATATCGATGATTTGGCTCGTAGAAACTATCTTTGCAGATGATTTGTTTTAATTGGCATATAACTAAAGGTATTATTAATAAAAATTTCACTTTGAAGCTTGGTTAATTTTGCGTCACATGCATTCTCGCGGTAATGCTTTCAAAAGTACCGCGGTCCACAATAACATTTTAAAAATAAATATTCAACTAAATAAATAAATAATTAGGTGAATGAAAATTTAAAAATGTATTTGTACTTTATTATTATAATATAGTTTAGAAAACGGCAATAGTACATTTTTAAAATAATTATTTAAGAAATAAAATTATTTAACATTTTACAGTCTAATATTTATTAAATATAAAATACGGGAAATATATTTTTGTAACATTGCTATAATTATCTATACTCATTTTGACCTCATTAAATTAATTTTAAAATGGTTATTACTTATTGCTCTTGAATTTTGTAATATTTGTTTGTAATGTAACATAAATAATTAGGAATACAATTTATAATTTGAAGTAGAAATATTTACCAGTAAGGTTTAATATTTTGGTATTGTACTTCTGTTGAATTTTTATAATTAACGAATAAATAGTTTTTTATAGATTAGAAAATTATTGGTTTTGTACAGAACACTTTTAACTAGATTTTTGAGTTAGGAACAAATTAGTTTTTCACCCTTTCCTTGCAAATCCATTTTTCATCCATACATTTTTTCAAAACACTGTTTGATTAACCAAAATACTTTGTCACTCAAGATTTTACCCTTTCTTCGCCCACCCCGTCAGTACCTTTGGTACATGTAACCTCGAAGTCTGTCCATTATAAACATCGAATGTTTTTATTGACTGCTGCCAGTTAAAAACTTTAAATAAATATGTGTGTGTCAAATATAATTAATGAAATTATTTTTGCTTAGAGGATTTACTAACAATAATATTATTGAATCATTCCGTCTAATTTTAAGTCAAAGCAGTTCAAGGCAAAATTAGTTAATAGAAATCAAAACGTTTCGTTTTAAAATATTTCTTCGTATATGTAGTTTGCCTTAATGATTAACGAGTAATATTAAAATCATCAATTACAAATTAGTTACCTAGTTATTACACTACGCCGTTGACATGAAATATAGGACAAAATAAATTTAAATACTACCTATTGTTGTAAATTATGAAAGATCGCATTGTTGTGAAAAGTCAAATGTAAACAGATGTTGTTATAAATTCTTTCAAATAAATAAAAAAATATTTGCGACGGTTTTCAATGTCGTTTATTGTGCAGTGAAATAATATTATGAACGATTCGTGGAAACTATACGTCATATTAGTTATTTGGTTACGTACTTGCTTGTCTCAATTCAGTTTAACTATACGGTTTTAGACACAATTGTACCATTATGTTAATTAATTCGTGTTCAAAAACATTTCTTTGATAAATATGTGTGTGTTCATACGACGAAAAAAACTAATATTCCACGTATTAAATACACAGAGTAACCACCTATAGTGGAAACAAGAGTGTACCTAATACAATAAAACGTACAAAACCACGGAATTTGATACGCTAAACGGTTGACTAAAAAATATCACTCTCCTTTCAAGAAAAGTTTGGTTGTGTCTTCGCGTCCCTAATTTCCCTTCAGTTTTTCACAACCATGCGTACCCATATTCGATTGATACAACTTTCTGTCATTACGTATCGTTTCTGAACGGTGTAAAATGTATTTCACCATTTTTTACCCGTTCGAACAAATTCCAAGTCCAGAATTCTGAATGTCGTGTCTATACAGTACACAAGAAACTGTACTATACACGCCATTCACAATACGATTCACGTACAACGTTATAATATAGCCAATGTCTAAACATATGCACACGCACATAATGATTATATAAATTAGCAATTAAAACATTTTAACGTACGAGTTAAACAGGCTAGACAAGTTTGAACAACTCGAGTCAGTGGTAATATCATTTTAACCGATTTTCGAGACGATAAATTGTTAATGAAAAATGAGAGGATGGCGATTTTCTAAGAACTCTACACGGGCTATCAATCAAATGCACATACAGGAATATAAAATGGTTAATTCGGACACGGACATAATTCAGAACAAGTGTTCGAGAACGGTGATCGGTGATCGACTATATATAATTATGATATATTTTTTTTTATCGCATCCTCAAAGTAGATTTGCGGAGAGCTCAAAATCAGCAGAATACTGAAATCAACTATCCCATACGTGTCATATTATATCGTTATACTTACAACAGTATAGAAGTAATGTTAAAATTATTTATGATATAGACATATCATATTATTTAATATACCTATACGAAGAAGTATGTGGAGTACACTGCTATTCTCGTCGTGAGTAACGATCTGAGACACATTTTCACGAAGGTTCACGAATAATTATTATTAAACTCGTTTTTCAAATATTATTTATGCGCAGTCTTGTTAGAACCATTTTTAAAATATACTTTATTATTTTAAACACGCATAGGTATTATTATACGTTAACGTATTATTATTGTGTTCTTGTCCTAAATTGAAAAAAAAAACATGTCTTGAGACGGGTAGACAGAGATTTTATCGTTATTTCTTTTATAAATACGTCGTCAATATGTTTTCGATAAGTCATAATATTATTATTATTAGTTTTATATTATATTGATAAATAGTATTGTGTACGTCTTCAAAAAAATAATTACGAGAATATCTTTGTCATAATTTCAAGGAATTTAACGTATTACCAGTGGATCTTGTAGTCATCAAAATACTGTAGTAAAATTTAGACTACTGGGTTGATAAAAAATATATAAATAATAAAAAAGCTTTTCGAGCTTTTAATGCTAAAATATTACGCTTTAAAAAATCTATTGGTAAAAAATTCGTCGGTTATTATCTTCGCCATAATTATTAAAATTATGTATTATTTTCAATAAAGAAAAACATACGTTAAAATATTGTAAAATTGAAAAAAAATTTTGTCGGTCGGTTAACTACATCTTTGTAATTTTTTTTTATTTTTACTTTGCGTATTTCCGTATTTCTGGTTTAAAATATAATATTTATAAAATTGTCCCCGATTATTTCATATTCTTTTTCCATAAGTTTCTTTAACTGTAGCTGACTACCTTTGCCACAACCATATAGCGCACAGAAAGTAGATGATTCAAATTTAAAATGTTTATAAATTGTAAATATTTAATTTTTCTCTAGTATAAAAAATACTTCTATATTTTTATTCATTATTATGCTCACTTGTAGGCCGGCGATTTCTGAAATTCTCCGAAGAACGATGTGCACTTTTCGACTGTGCTTCTGGTAAGGGCGGTCAGCGTGTCGCCAGGCTTCTTCCGGTCGGCCGGACGTTTAGTCTCCATCGTCTGTGTCTTAGTCTCTTTGGCCAAATAGTCGTAGGCGGCTGCGTCGGCCGCCTGCACTCTGAACAAGTGATGCGGATGACCGTGTCCGTGTTCCGACTTGTGATTAGCTGTTCCGCACATTGTCGTCGTCGATAATATTATATAATATTATGATTATACTTTACAGCGGTTGACGGTCGACGAATTCGTCGGAAAAGCGTTCGTAGAACAGCGTTCGAAAAGCTCGGTCGATCGCGGCGTGATGCAGTGAACTTTGACTATGTTAGACAGTGTGTCGGTGCGAGCCGTCGTCTGCAGTGAAAAGGACCGTGCATAGGACCAGGTCTTATATATAGGCAGCGGCGGCGGCATCAGGCATTGGCCTACGTGACCGACGTGCAGGCGGCGTTCACACCGTGTCGCGTTCGGCCGCGCATTATCGTCATTACTCGTGTTCGTTAACCATCGCAAGCCGGACGTTTCACGTTTGTCAAGCATAACATATCAATAACAATAATGTTAATATATTAAAATATTATACACTATACAGTGCGATTCGCCAAGCGGCAAGCGTGCTCGTATACCCTTATTTTTCCGTTAAACAGTAGGTACACGTCTACTCAAAATCTGATTTTTGTATTTCCTCGTACTACACTTAAAGAGTATCTTGCGACTTGCAGTGATAAAAATTTCTGTTTTACAAATGAAACCTGCTCTTTTTTGATCGTACATTTTTTGATGAATAATTTTGGTGCTAATTCGCCTGTATAATTCAAAATCCGAACGAGCAGTTTTTCAGTCATTAAAATGTTTATAATTAGGATAATAGCCTTCAAAAATGGTTTCACAAAAATATAAAATATATTTTTTAAGGAATTTAAATTCAAGTCTTACTCAATGGTCACGGACGGATTATCCTTAGTACACAAAATTAAATGACTTAAGACTCCTCACTTAAGTTTTAATTTTGATGCGTCAACATTTCTTGAAAATTATTCGCTAAATAAGTATAATTTAAAGTAGAAAGGTAAGTTGTTGTTTGAAAAACGAAAATTTGTGTTTTTACCGGACACTCTTATTAAGTATTTCGAAAATTGTAATCAATTTGAAAATATGATTTTTAAGTGAAAATTCTAAAAATCTAGTTCTTAGTAACTACATTAATGAAGAATAAAAAGGGGTTGATCATGCTTGGTGAATCATTCTGTATACAAATAAATTCCGGACGCCCGGGTTCCCACCGCCCGACTGGCCAATGGCATCATATGCGTCCTGCGGGTTTTGCGTCGCATAACACATTATGACAATACAATAGTTAATACCAACGACGGCCTACCCGGTGCCAACAGTACCTATAATAAAGATGTATAAATACAGTGTCGAGGAAGTAAAGTTACATTGATTTTGAGTTAAAAAGTAACTTCATTACAATTAAAGTAATTTTTTTTTTGTTTTTAATATTATTAAACCATTTAAACCTCTGAACCGTAATAATATTAACTATGTTGTCGATGTATTAACTACGTAATAAAAATATACAATATGATTTTCACATAGAAACTATGTAACATACGAAAGTACTTATTTAAGATCTAAATAGAAGACACTCATTGTTTACATATTTTATTCTTTATTTTTTTTAATTTATTCTTAATAACTGCAATGTTTTTTCCAATTGACAAGTTATTAAAAATAAATTTTTCGTCAAATAAAAGCTATTACAAAAATGTTATTGTTAGAAAATTTTACTCAATGAAATATTTACATAAATTATCATTGGTTCTTAAGGTTCTTAAAGTATACAAAAAAAAAATTTATCAAGTAATTTAGTAAATTTACTACGACATTATAACTTAATTATTAAATTACAATAAAATGCAATTAAATTACCATCAAAATACTTATTATATAATATACAAAATGTATATAAGTTTTAGTTTATTACAACACCACGAACGATAAAATTAGTTATAATAATAATATATATCATAATATTGTACCGTCATGTAATAGCTAATTACAATAATTGTTCACGGTGTGGTAATATAGCTGCCGTTCTCTACGGTCGGGGTCGCGCGTGGCGCCAAACTTATCGTTCTGTGAAGCCATGAAAATACCTTATTTTTGACGACCTCCTCTGTATATTATACATATCTATATAATATCCGATATCATGTACGCTGACTCCGGAATCCAACACACGGTTGGGCAGTGTTTTTTGCTTTTGGCGACGTCACTACCACGTGCGGAATCTTAAACTATTTATCTAGTGCGCGCGTACGTGCATTGCAATTTCAGAAACCTTATAACTGGGGCGTGGAATTAAATATGAATGTTATTATTTTCTGAACGTTCCAAAATATTGCTTTCCAAGTATAAAATTCGTTTCATTCATCAAAGACCTTAAAAATGAATATTTTATTTTGTATTTTTTCATTTATAGAGCATTTTTGGAAATTGTTAAGTCAGTCTTACATTTTTTTAAGTATATTTTTCATATATTTCATAATTTGATAAAAATTTACCCAAAACTAAACCTTTAGGAAGGTAAAAAATTAAATTAATTAGCTATTATTTATTTTGCTTAGTTACGTTATTTTTATTGCGCATATTTTTACCTATTTGACTGATTACGGCGGTAGGTGCGCAATAGTATCATGAATTATATTTTCATCACGCGCAAACAAAATAATATTACATTACGAACCTGTTTTATTAACGGCTTGTTTAATCGTGACAACGTAAAATTTTGTAAATTTAAATAATATAAATACATTTTTTACACTTTTTTCTATAATTTAAATTCAACATAAAGTCAAAAAATAATTTTTAAAAACATTTTGTTAAGTCTTAAAATATATTTAGCGCATTAAGTTATTTTTTCAAACTCATTTTCTTGTTTTTTAGAATAATAAAATCATAATTTCATTACACTTATTCACTTATTAAATTATAACGATATTATTATGTTACGAGTATATATTCTATTTTAATCTGTTGCATATAACTTCGTTGAAGTTACAAACCCTACATGCAATTTTAAAAACTAGCATAGATGTATATAAAATCCACATAAACCCATCATTTATATGATTTTTCATTTCCACTGTCATGCACGATTTCTGTCTTAATAATGAGCGTAATTCAAGTAGATCCCATGGAAACATTTATGTCGGTTAATTTATGACTAATTAATGGATGATTCTGGCATGTTTCTATTGACTTAAATTTGTAAAACGATCTAACCCAATTACGCTAAAAAACTAATCCATCATTATTATTACAATATAGCTTTCACAGGAAACTCTTAAATGATAAAAATTCTTTCATTTTCCAAGGGTCCTATCTATAGGTCCCCTAACACTTGGCTGCAATGAAATTGCTTTAAGAGATAATTTATACAACTCAAACCAATAATTAAAGGATATTATCTATTTTTAGTATATAAGTAGTGGCAGAAAGTGATTATCACTTTCCTCTAATCAAGTATTTATATTTTTTTTTTATTTCTATTATAAAATTAATCTTAGTAATATATTTTAAATAAAAAATAAATATAATAATCTTATTTTTTATTATTGAGATAAATAAATTTGACGCAATGCATTGTAGGTCTTAGAACGTGTATCTACACATTTTACGTAACAAATATATTTTAACATCTTTTAATTACTGCCAATTATCAGAATATTAATAACGTTAAATCCTGCTGTACTGAGAGTCAATTAGACATTGGAAAATTTTACGAGTATTACATTAGCATTTAGCAAATTAATTAATTGCTGTGTGATGTTCTTATACATTATACTACACTTACCTAAATCAAAATGCACATAAATCAACAACTTATATAAACGAATCGACATTGATGCCCGATGATAACTGTAATTTAAGTATAAAATAATGATAAGTAATTAAATTAAGTATTATAAAACTTATAAATAACGGCTGTAAAGATAGATAAAATTATCTATCTATAAAAGTCGTTGCCTCCTATGTCCTATCTAACGGTCGTCTGATTAATGAAATTTTTTTATCGAACCGTTTCCGCATTCATAAGTGAATATATTACTATGGTAAATATATAGTACTTATCATATACGATATAATGTTGTGCAGTACAACAAAATTTCGGTAAAACGAATATTGAATGAGTTTCCAATTATTAATACTATTAATAGATAATAGATAGTATAAACTTCGGCTCGAAACGCGGCACCGGTTTGTCGAAGATTGTTGTGTTTATCTATGTCTATATAATCGTATTATTCATAACTCATAAGTTTCTAATAGAAATTATGACAAAAATGTTGCTCCTTTAATGCTTGCTTATAATTTATCGTATCTGATAGATATGCAGAGAATGGGTTGCAGCGTTATTATGTTATTGTGGTCGAGGTTGACTGAACTGTGTGTGCGTGAATTTTGTAGGTGTGAAAAAAAAAGTTCCCTAAATACGAGTTTAGAAAACGCCATGTGACATCGACATAATATCATGCACCACTTAATAGCTAATATTATAATACAGATAGAGTGGGTCGAGCAATTGTAATTATAATAAACCATATTAATTATTTATTTTAAGCGATGATATTACTTCTAAAAAAATATTTATTTTTATTGTTGACTTCTTATTGTTTATTTATGTCACTAACTATTTTAAATAAGACTCGATATAAATAATGCACTTTTACTTGTCAGTCGTTGTGTTCAATAATAAAACTATAAATTATTGTAGCGTAAATTATGATAGATGCCTAGTGGAATATGATTTATTGTTGTTAATATTTTATTACATCACATATCTTCCTCAGATCGTCTTTTACAAAATAGGTAGATAGGTAATTACGTATAGTAATTTACAAGAATTACTGATTTTTTTTTTTCATTTTAACCGAGAGATCGCGAGTAGAAATTTTGCTTTTATATTACCTCCGGACCATTCACTCGGAAAAATTATTTCTACCTACTACATTATGTTTACCTAAATCTGACTTTAGACTTTTTAGAAACTATAAAAATATAAGACTGAGTATTAAAATAAGATTTTGTTTTGACTACCTACCTGAAATACTAAATACTTAATTTATTAAATAGGTTAGGACGTGTGCAATATGTATTTCTAACACGCGTGCAAATATGCATTCAAGTCATGCAGGTGAGTCGACTAACTTTGATATAATTATAAATGATAGACAAGATGTATTTGATTATTTACAATCTATCTATATAGTTTATATTCTGTGGTTTATATATATATAAATATATTATGATTTAAACAACGCAATCTCATGAATATAATTTATGGTTTATGCATTTAATATGTTTTACAGTATTTCACTATCGCTTTGCTAGATAA